TTACGAATATAAGAAGCTTTATCAAAATTATAAACAGTGCTCAAACACGATTTCCACAGTTGAACACGAGAGTTGTAATTGTGCAGGTCTTTAATTAGCATGGATACTCATCAGGCTTCACTACTGTGTTATTCAGGCCTATTACATGAACAGAATATGGCAAAAATGAGACTACTCACTTTTATGGGAATGGCAGTGGAAAATAAAGAAATTTCTTTTGACACAATGCAACAAGAACTTCAGATTGGAGCTGATGATGTTGAAGCATTTGTTATTGATGGTGAGACGATTAGAAGGTTTTCATTTTTTTTCTTGAGTTTCTTCTACCCCATGGAACAGATTTTTAATCTTGAAACTGAGCCTTATGTTAACAAAGCTGGATTCTTTTGTAGCAAACGTGTATTAGTAGTTTTGCAGATTATATTTGTAATAGAGTGAAAATTCAATGGAAATAGAAATTGCTGTGTGGTTTTTGGTGTTTGTTCTATCCCTTGAAATCATATAGAACAAAGGCCTTTAGGCGCAGTATACCTTAGTAGTTAAGAACCTAGATTTTAGTGTCATACCTGGGTTTCAGACCAGGTCTTCCCCTATGAAACAGGAATGTGGGAGTTAATTTGTGGTTGTGAGGATTAAATGAATTAATGCAGGTGAAGTACTTAGCCCAGTGTCTGCACATAGTAAATGATCTGCAAATGTTAACCATTATCAGTTTTTATGGTTGGCCTAGAAACAGGAACTTCTTCCCCAACAATTGTGTTATAAAGTGATTTAACTGTTAATCCGGAATTTTTTCTGAGCTTTTTAAGTTTGAAAGTTGGATAGATTTAATTAAGATTAATAAAATGTGCAGAACTGTTGACATGGTTTCTTTCTAATGCTCTAAGTCTCAGACAATCCTATAAAGAAGTAATATCTTATTAGGAAATTAGTTTTTCCCCCCATATGTGAGTGTAGGGGAGGACACCTCGAATTCTTGATGAAAACGGTGTGATGTTTAGACAGACTGGCCCAGCAACCAAAGGACAACGTGTGGCCTTCCTCTTGGTCACATCATAGTGCTGTGCTCGTTAATAGACTGAAAGAGCTAGTCTGTAAAATAATGTTGGAAAACTGTTACTTGGTCAGTTTCTTTAGAAATACGTATACCTTAGACTGTTTTTCTTGGGAATTTTCCATGTAACACATCATGTGAAACATTTTTTTTCAGCGGTAAGAACTAAGATGGTCTATTGCAAAATTGATCAGACCCAGAGAAAAGTTGTTGTCAGGTAAGACACTTTAATACTTTGCAGCGTGTTGTAGACAAATTTAGTTTGTTCTGATTATTTCACTAAATGTTTAGAGAACCAAGGTGGTTTTCTTATCAGTTGACAGTAGTTAAATAGTTGCTATTTATCATAATTTTATTAAAGTTCAGACTGAATGTGATTAGCTTATTTAATGAAAGAGTCCTATTTTCCAGCACATTTCATTTAATGGCTTAGCACTGGCTAGAATACTAATGACTTTTGTGTCTGGTTTATGTAGTTCAGGAAAACAGAAGGTTTAAGATCAATATGGTAAAGATTTTTAAAAAATAAGCTAATTTGCTTACGATTCTAAATTATGTCTTTTATGTATATTTAATCTTGCTTTTAACTAGATGCAAGTGTGTAGTATTGTAAAGAATACCAGAGAATAAAAGGTTGACTAGTAACTTTATTTTCAATTTTTAGTCATAGCACACATCGGACATTTGGAAAACAGCAGTGGCAACAACTGTACGACACACTTAATGCCTGGAAACAAAACCTGAACAAAGTGAAAAACAGCCTTTTGAGTCTTTCTGATACCTGAATTTTTATGCTATATAATTTTGTTCATTTTGGAAAAAAATCTAAATCATAGTAAAACATTATAAATTGAAATTTGACTATAGCCTTGACATTTATTGTCTCAAATTTAAAAGAAATCACAATCTTCAGAGGATACAAACTAATATGTTACAGAGGGTCACTGTGTCTTTCTTGTATAACAGGTAAGTAAGTTGTGTTCTGTAAGAAAGGGTTTTGAAGTTGCAACAAGAGCTCTGATGAAAGGATCTATGGAGGAAAGACAAATTTAATTAAGGTGAACTGGATGCTAACTGCAGACTTTGCCATCTTAGCTATCTTAAATGAAGCATTTGCTGAGTGAAAACATAATAGTAATATAATTTATTACATCAGAAAAAGTTGGAGAAGTACAAATGTGAAGCTTAGGATGTAACAGTCATTTTGTTCTAGTCAAAACCACATTGATACTTCAGTTAAATCAGTTCACCCCTGAAAACATTTATTGAAGCATTATTTTCATCTGGTGTTTTTTCCAACATCTCTTCTGCTTTTCTTTTTTTAGGTTGGTGGTTGTTTTCTAAGCTTAGGAACTTTTCAATTTCATTTATTTGATTTGTTATCAGGCTCTGCCAGTCATCTTCACCAGTAGAATCGGTATCTTTAATCTTGATTCCCTGGAAATGGCTTCGTAGCAGAGTTGATTTCAGAGGCTTTATTTTCACCTAGGAAGGACCAAACTTTTACCATTGAAATTATTAATTACTCACCTTTCTAAATAGTCATCAACAAAATAGTTTAAAGGAAATGCTTAAGCCTCTGCAGTTATGAGTATGTGATAAAGCCACCATTTTCTTGGCTAATTTCCAACAACTATCTTAGTACTTAATTATGGCACCAAAAACTAAAATGTGCATTGAATTTGTAGGCTTATGTAGTAGCTCTTCAAGATCCCTAATAGATTCCAGGGATACCACAAACGTTTTTATAAAAGGTCTCGAGCTTACATTGAAAGAAAAGATATTTAAAACAGTGCAGATAAAAATCTGTTTTATCTTCTACTCCCCTCCCTTCCCAAACATGTCTCTATTTTGTATCTTCTATCAAAGCCAGGGGAAAATGAAAAATGCTAACAGAAGTAAACTGCCACATAAAAACCACCTTTTCTTTCATGTCTCTGCTCACACTTCTGAGTACCATTGTCAGAGAGACAGGAAGGGCAACGAGGCATTTGGAAGTCGGCCTGTTCCCAAGGCGCTGCACTGGGTCATACTTAGAATACTGTGTTAGAAAATGTGTTTCATTTTAAGGTTTTTTCCTGATGATAAAATATTGCAAATTTAGAAATAGAGAAAAGTATAAAGAAACTAAAAATCACTAGTAATCCACTATCTAGAGAGACCTGTCAACATTTTGGTATTGTTTGGTGCTAGTCTTGTTTTCTATTTTTAGCATATGTACTCATTCTATAGAATTTCATATCTTGGTTTTTCCTTCTGTGAGTTGTTTACTAGATCATTAAAATTTCTTATAAGCAATTATCAGTGCTGCAAAATACTTCCTTGTATGGATGTGTGATAATTTACTATTATTGAACGTGTTTTTTTGTGTGTGTGTGTGTGTGTCAGGAAGACTGGCTCTGAGCTAACATCTATTGCCAATCATCCTCCTTCCCGCCCCCCCCCCTGCCCCAGTAGATAGTTGTATGTCATAGTTGCACATCCTTCTAGCTGCTGTATGTGGGACGCGGCCTCAGCATGGCTGGAGAAGCAGTGCGTCGGTGCGCGCCCGGGATCCGAACCCCAGGCTGCCAGTAGTGGAGCGCACGCACTTAACCGCTAAGCCACCGGGCAGGCCCGCAAACATCTGTTTCTAATTTATCCCTATCAAAAATAAATTTGAGTTAATTTCTTGAAAACAGTCTTTGATGGTCTTCTGAGATAGAGTCCCAGATAAAATCTTCTCTTAAAAGGGAATATTACGTTTTAGAAATATGCAACAGGATAAGAATTACATTAAACTTACCCAAGAGTCCAACCACCATTAAACATTTTGATGTAAATATTCTCATCTCTTCTGTATATATACACTTAAAAATTTTGGAGCATATTTATATCATTTTCTATGCTGTGTTAAAAACATTTTTAGTATTTCCCTCTGTTCTTAAAATTCTGTTAAGAACATGTTCCATAATTGAATGTATCGTTGGACATTTAAGTTGTTGGAAAACATATACTGTTATAAATTAGACTATAATGAATGTCATTTGTTCATAAATCTTGGTGAAGATCTTTGAGTACTGTCGTACATTAAAAGCTTTTCCAGTTTGACTGGTAAGAGTTGCATATTCATAAGATTGTCATTTTCAAAGTGAGATTATCTAGTAATAATTTTTTTAATGAGCTTAAGTGTTTACATTTAATCTCAGTTCCCTAAGAATTGCTCCTCTTGGACTGCTCTGTTTGGCTCTTGAGAACTTTATAGTCAGCCACCAGTCCCCTTCAAGTCTTAGCCTCGATCCTTGGGGTGATGATGTGCTTATGTCTGTCTGATTGCCTGTGTGCTTATGAAATGACAGATGAAAACAAGTGTCAGCACAGGACCACAGAGACCTCAGGCAAGTCACTTCCCTTTCGTGGGCCTCAGTTTTCTCGTCAGCTCCTTTTAGTTACAAAATGTTATTACTGTAGAGAATAACTGGTAATGGATAAAAATATGTATAATTGTATATTTCTGATATTGCTTGGCATAGAAGTGTGTTCAACGTGCCTCATTTAGCTCACAAGGCCAAAATGAATGTAAATCGTCTATCCCATCTGAGAAATATGTCAAATCTAAATCTAGGTTGCTACAGATACTGAAGTAAAATGATTGATGATCTGTGTGATTTAATGGTCCTGTTTTGCCATCAAAATGCTTGATTGATGCATTTTCGTGCATTTGACATCAACTACAAATTACCCAATTTTCCAAAATCCTGATTTTTTGACTTTTTAAAGATGATGGAAAGGAAAGAGACATTTACACGTAGCTGCTTTAGTTTCTTTCCTCTTAACTACCCACTTGGCGGGAGGGGCAGGAGCAGGGACTGGCTGTAGAGAGAAACAAGATACAATATAGATTAAAGTTGACACTTAAACATGTGTCCTGTTTAGCTTCACTGAGGTTTGCAGCCTCCAGCAGCAACTCTAGTTCCAGACGTGGTCACATTCTGCTCCTTCCTTTCCTGTCCTGTTCTAAAAACTGCTTACCTCCTAACCTCTTTCTGTGACTCAAGAGATCTACTCTTCAGCCTACAATTCCCCCGCCTGGTCTAGCCCTCTTTATTTCAGCCTGGGGTTTCAGGCCATACATTTTAAAATTTAACTTAAGTGACTGTAACTCATTGGCTGTGTAAAATTACGTGGCTTTCTTTGGCTACTCTGGTCTCTCTCCCATCCTCATTCCTGGGTATAATCAAGATAGCAGCAGGGCTGGCCCGGTGGCTTAGCGGTTAAGTGCGCGCACTCCGCTACTGGCAGCCTGGGTTCGGATCCCGGGCGCGAACCGACGCACCACTTCTCTGGCCATGCTGAGGCCACGTCCCACATACAGCAATTAGAAGGACGTGCAACTATGACATACAACTATCTACTGGAGCTTTGGGGGAAAAAATAAATAAAATTGTTAAAAAGAAAAAAAAAAAAGATGGCAGCAGGCCACCAACATAACCCCCTCCAAGAACAAAACACCCCTTTCAAGTTGCTCTGAATCTATATGGAAAAAGTGAATTCACTCATAATATCTACCCAGAATTTAACAGGATTGATGTACACGTAAAAATAGAACTTATATTCACTTTCTGGGTAAAGTCTTCATAAAATTCATTTGTCTTCATTTAGAACAAGGGTTGGCAAACTTTCTCTGTAAAGAGCCAGAAGAAAATGTTTTTGGCTTTGTGGGCCAAGTGGCCTCCCTCCCAACTGCTTAATTCTGCCATGCAACACAAAAGCAGCCACAGACAATGGGTAGAGAAATGGGTGCAGCTGTGCTCTAACAAACTGTAACTAAAGGCAGTGCGTTTGTCGTTTGATGGTCCCTTGTGTAGAAAAGTGTAAAATATTAAGCAAGTATAAAGGAGCTTCCTAAAGAGACGAATCCAGTTTAATTTAATAGCATTTTCAGTAGACTAGGCAAAAGCTTTTAAATTTGTCCCACGTTGGTGGTTAATCGGTAATCAAGTTTCAAGCTGGGACGATGATGCTTACTTAGCGTAGTGCTTGACACAATAATAAGCACTTAGAAGATGTCTGTTTAGCCAGTGAGCTGGGTTTGTTTTACATATACCAGTATTTTGAGAAGAAACACTTTTTTTTATTATGAAAGTTGAGAACAGCATTTGATTAAGAGCCAAGATATCTAGTCTTAAGTCCATCGCAGATTGTGTCTTAATGACCTGGGAAAATTATTTCACATTGTGTCACTGCTTCCTCATCTGTAAAATAGATACAGGACTGTTGCAGGAATATTTCTTTGAAAAAGTTTTAAATTCTATAAATTCTTAAAAACAACATTAATTGCAGGAATAGCATTAGGAGTTAGACAAAAAGAACTTCCCTAATGGGTTAATTATAAAAATAGGCTTTAAAAGAAGGTGTGAAAGTTCCATCATACCCTTAAACTGTTTGAAAATAGGGCATTTATCTTGTTAAGTGTTAAATATTCACCTAATTAGAAACGGGTGTCTAGCTTCATACTCTCAAGCTTCCTTTTTGCTTTTATTCTGTGACTTGTCCAACTGGCCAGAACTTCGATTTCCCAGTGCCAGGTTCACTGTGCATTAGGTACCATATTTTAAAGGTTACACACTTGTAAGACATCAAGCCAAAACTGCTGCTAAGCTCAGTTATGAGAAGATGAAAAAGGTAAATGCTGATGTCTGTTTCAGCTCTCCCAGAGGGAGAGTTAACACTACCTTACTTGAAGTTTCTCCTATTTATAAAGAAAAGTAAAATATATTGTTAAAAGCTGTTATTGTTAAGATGGTTAGTAACATAATTTTCATTTAATATACAGTGGCTTTAAAATCAGTCTGTCACTATGCAGTTTTTTTATAGGTAATCTTTCCTAACCTTTTTAGGTTACTTTTTAGCAGTTATACCTATAGTTGTCTGCTTTTTAGACTTTGAACAATATAGCCTTTTTTGTGCTACAGTTTTGCACATGAAGAAAAAACTTACAAATTTTACCAAAAAACTTGTCAGCTGTAGTTAGTAGCTTTTCATATGACAAATGGACTCCCCATAAAATCTATAATATTTCGCTAAATATTTGTATTCATACTTGATATCATATTTATGGATACTTGATCCTTTCACATACTTTTAAATTAATTGAAGTAATTTAAAACAGATAAAATTCTTCCTTTGCAATAGTCAGTTTCCCCAAATAATGTAAATTACCTTAAGCACTAGTAAAAACTGAACTTAATTGATTACGTTATTTAAGGTGTCTTATGGGTGAACTGTTTTTGTTTTTTAGTTTAAATAAATAAATGGTCAAATGCCACTATTCCTAAATTTAGGTGACTAAAATATAGAAGTACATAATACACTACCTCACACTTTATCCTTCCCAAAACAGGCTGGATTGTATCTATTTGATTTATACACTGTGACTTTTTCCTGCTGTTTTCCATCAACCTTAATTGTGAAAAATGGTGCCATGTTGCCCTCTTGATATTATTTTGGAGATCAGTTGGTCTTAAAGCATCCAGATGCATACAGTTCTACACATATCTGTAGAATTAGCTCACTGAGGTCTGCTCGGCAGTATTTTTAACTGACTTACACGTTCTGTGGGAAAAGAAGAATCATAAAAAGTCTTTGCAGTCGCATTCCTCTCTTCACTGGGCTCTCCCTTGGGATCTGGATGGATACTCCAGTTATTCAAAGTGTCAGCAGCTCTGTCGATGCTGGTAGTATCTGGTTGACAAAGAGGAAATGGCAACAACTGAATTTTATTCTCCAGGCACTCATTTTAGTGACTGAACTTGTTTTTCCCTGATCCTATGCTTTTGTATTTAAAAAGTAACAATTTCTATTTTCTTTTTACTTTGAACATTTTATAGTTTTCATATACTTTGCTCTTATATTAGGCATTTCATTTCAGAAAACAAAATTTTATTATTGCTACTTTCGTAAAACCTGATTTCACATTAAAATGAGTGAATAATATAAATATCATAAAACAAAAGTCACATAAAATGTTATCCTTATTCCCCTGGTTACTACATTGCCCACACATGTAAACACGTATATAGGGAACATCTTACCAATTTAGATTAATGGGAAAAGTCTGAACCAAGTAAAAGTCAGATTCATAAAATATGTTTAAAGAAACTCACCATGGTAAGAAGGCCAACAAAGGGCTGTCTAGTAAGGGGATCATTGGGCTTTAATAAATAGATAAAAATGATTTAGAGAAACAGGTCTAATTTGAAAGTTAAAACATACTTATGAGTTTGAGTATTTTACAAGTTGAATTTCTACAGAATTTTAGACATCTCCCCTTCCATCCTTACATTTTGTATCATTGAGATTTAATTTAAAAGAAAAGACCTGTGAGAAAATGGTAAACATTAGACCAGCCCTTGACTGACCACAGCATGTGACAGACAAAAGTAATAGAATCTGAAGTTAATACATTTTATTAGGAAAATTATAGTTTGTGAAATGAGGTTTTACAGTGTTTTCTATTTTTCTCTACATTACTTTTCCATTCGTGCTAATAAACAAATATACTGATTTTGCTTTTAATTGCCAATTTTTATAAAAAAACTTTTTTCTTAATTTTCTTTCTAAGACAAGCATGTTAAGTCTGAGGGCTATGCAAAGCTTTCCTTATAATCTGCATTTCTTTTTTTTTTTTTTGTGAGGAAGATCAGCCCTGAGCTAACATCCATACTAATCCTCCTCTTTTTGCTGAGGAAGACCGGCTCTGAGCTAACATCCGTACTAATCCCCCTCTTTTTGCTGAGGAAGCCCGGCTCTGAGCTAACATCTACTGCCAATCCTCCTCCTTTTTCCCCAAAGCCCCAGTAGATAGTTGTATGTCATAGTTGCACATCCTTCTAGTTGCTGTATGTGGGACGCGGCCTCA